CCTGCAGTATGCAAATTTAACGGCCATCTTTGTTGGGTTAATTTGCATACTCTTCTGACTGGCTGATGGGCATAGCGAAGGTACGGTCAATTAGCATCTTTGTCTTTTATTAGTGTAGATAAATATTACTCTGAGAATGAAGGTAAAGAGTATCATTGTTTATATAACAAGAATTTTCATTTCAATGAGAAAACATGAGTATGAATATATACAAGTGCATGCCACTTAAATGTGTCATATTGTTTAGTGATAATAAATACTATTTTAACATTAAGTTTTATATGAAACTACCTTTAGAGAAAAATCTTCCAAGTTTAGCTTCTAGCAAGCAGTATTATGACAAGTAGAAAATAGTTGTTTCATTTGGGACTGCATTTCAAAGCACATTCAAGCTTCTTTGGCTAACCATATAGAATTTTGGATCACTAATATTAATAACATGTTCCAAGTGTACACCTTGCATACACTTGCACACACACATTTATTCTCATTCTTTTTTTTAAATCTTCACCCAAGGATATGCTTATTAATTTTACAGCGAGGGAGAAAAGGGGGTGGGGGGGGAGAGAAACATCAATGTGAGAGAGAACACTGATGAGCTGTCCATGCCCCAACTGGGAATGGACCTGCAACCTAGGTATGTGCCCTAACCCCAGAACATAACCTGCAACCTTTAGGTATATGTACGAGGCTCCAACCGAGTTACACCGGCCAGGGCTATTCTCATTGCTATTCTCCTGGCCGCACCCCTTCCCACCTTCCTCTGTCTCCCCCTCTCCTTTTCTCCATCCATAGAAATATAGTCATATGGAGAGACAGAGAGTATATGATAAATAGTAGACACTAAAAATTGGTTGTGAAATTTAATAAAAGACATAAAAGTCATGGAAACACTTACTTCATCAGCCACCATGCACCTGGAAAAAAGAAAAATAAAAGGAAATTAATTTCTTAATTATCAAAGTCAACCATTTAAAAGTTCGGATTAAGTAGCTTGCCACAAAATAGTTTACGGAAGATAAAGTACTACGCCGGAGACAGGTATCTGTATGTGTGCATGAGAACAGGGGCCAGTGCTGACTTGATAAGACTCTTTGGCTGCCAACGGCATATGACTATGTGGGCTTGTCACAGCCTCAGCTGCACTGTTCGCCACTGCCCACCATGGAGATAGCTACAGTGACCCTTCAGAAATGTGAGCAAAATGGCAAGTGACTGTACCAATGAGTTCCGTCCTCCTTACCATCAAACCTTAAAATGGTCTTCCCTACAGATAAGAATACGGTATTAAAGTACAAGAAAATAAATGTCAAGAAAAAGTTCCTACTTCTATTAGTTTCTTCCTTTTTCACCAATGGTCTTGACATTATATAATTTTATAAGGTTTATTTTAACATAAAACACAAATTAAAAATTTGATAATAAATATATTATCAAGGAATAAGTTACAGGTAAAATGGAATTTTGTTCTTAAAAAGAAAAAAAACATGTCAGGTTACCTAATAAGTATTTTTATGGGAAAATAAGATAAAAATATTTTAACTGAAATTTAAAGCATATGCAAGAATATAAAGTTTATTACATTTTTTTACACAGAAGCCTAAAAAGTAGAAATGAAAAAAGCAATACGTTGAGAATCATGATTATTTCTGAAAAATTCATGTGTTTGCCTCCTTTTTTCATTTTAAAACCCAACTCAAATTTGGTGAAGATGTCATTTTAAGTGTATATTATTTACACAGAAGACTAAAAAGTAGAAATAAAAAAAGCAATACTTTGAGAATCATAATTATTTCCAGAAAAATTCATGTGTTTGCCTCTTTTTCATTTTAAAATCCGACTTAAATTTGGTGAAGATGTCATTTTAAGTGTATATTATTTGCTGAGCATCTACTATGTACCCAGCACTGTTCTAAGTGCTAGAGTGGTAGCAGTGAATTAAAGTCGTTTCCTCATAGAGGTTGCCTGGAAGAAGATAATACACAAGTAAGTTCTATTAAAAACACTAAAACAAGGTAAGGCAGAATAAGGAATATAGGGGAAAATATACTTCATAGAGTGGTCAGGAACAGTCTTTATGTTAGGCAAGTTGGACAGATTTGAGCAAGTCATAAATTTAATGAGAAAGGGAATTATGAGAAAATGTGGAGGAAGATTCATCTCAACAAAGTGATCAGCAAGACCAAAGATCTTGAGATGAGATAGTTATAATATCAGTTGATAAGGAAGCTAATGTGAGTGAAGTGCAGTGAGATGATTCTCAACAAAGTGATCAGCAAGACCAAAGATCCTGAGATGAGATAGTTACAATATCAGTTAAAAGGATAAGGAAGCTAATGTGAGTGAAGTGCAGTGAGATGAAAACAGTAGTAATACTACTACTAATAATAATGTTGGAAGGCAGTTAGGCTCCTGACCCTGACGGACCTTATAAGCAATGGCACAGAGTTTGGATTTTCTTTGAATCCTTTGGAAAGAAGCAACATATTACCTTTTTAAAAAGACTGCTGTTGGCTTATCTATATACTAGTATATAAAAGCCAAGCAACGGAACAGTGGAACGACCAGAACAACTGGAATGATCAGTCGCTATGAGGTGTATTGCAGCAGCCAATTGGCCTGATGTGAGCCCCGATTGGCCCCCCCAACCGCCCGCGGTCCCTCTCCCTGGCCAGCCCCACTCCCGATCGGCCCTCATCAGGGTGGGCCAGCCAGACCCCACCCATGCACGAATTCGTACACTGGGCCTCTAGTAGAGAATAAACTGTATAAGGCAAGAGCAGAAGCATAGAGAGCAGTCAGGAGGCATCTGGAGTACACCAGGAAAGAAACAATGTATGAATGAGTGGTAGAGGTGGAAGGGGTGAGAAGTGGTAAGTTTAGGCACTTTTAGAGCAGCGGTTCTCAACCTGTGGGTCGTGACTCCTTTGGGGGTCAAATGACCCTTTCACAGGGGTCGCCTAAGACCATAGGAAAACACATATATAATTACATATTGTTTTTGTGATTAATCACTATGCTTTAATTATGTTCAATTTGTAACAATGAAATTGGGGGTCACCACAACATGAGGAACTGTATTAAAGGGTCGCGGCATTAGGAAAGTTGAGAACCACTGTTTTAGAAAGTACAGCCACTGGGGCTTGATGATCATTTGGGATGGGAATGTAAAAATAAGAGAGAAAAGTTAAGAATGAATATGAAGGTATTGGCTCAAGCAATTAACTATGAAAATGGTGGTGATGCCATTCACTGAGACAGGAAAGGCCGGGAGAGAAGTAGGTCTGGGGACAACCACGAAAAAAGTTGTTTGGCCTTGGCCGGGTGGCTCAGTTAGTTGAGCATTGTTCTATACACCAAAAGGTTGTGGGTTCGATTCCTGGTCAGGGCACATACCCAGGTTGCAGGTTTGATCCCAAGTTGGGATACATGTGGGCAGCAACTGATCGATGTTTCTCTCTCTTTCCCTCATCTCTCTAAAATCAAGGATTAATTGGTGAGGATTAATGGGAGAGGATATATACTAGTATAAAGTTTTGTTTGGACATTAACCTTTGTGGTATCCATTAGATATCCAACTTGAACTATTAAGTAGGATATGTGAGTCAGGGGAATGATAGGGACTAGGGATAAAATAAATGAGGATCATCAGAATATAAATGATAATTAGAATGAGTGAGGATACAGGATATTCTGAAACTTGACTGTGGCTTGCTCCTATCTATGTCCAACTCCATGGTCCTTAACTTTTTAAAATTAGGCCGCTGCTGAGACCTGCCGGATAGTGCTTGAAGTAGGGTAACATCAGAGTCAACTGGAACACAGCTAAATTGCCTGTGAGTGGCTAACCAACTGAAAAGCAGCATCGGCCCTGGGCAAAAGCTGAGGGCTGGAACAGACGAATCACTGGAACAGATGGGCTTTCAGGTACCTTGAGACCCCCGTGACGATGAATGTGCTGGATTTTCCTAACTGAGCCAGGTGGGTCTTCCTACTTCGGAAACTAGGCAAGTTGAAGTAGATTACAGAACACTAGGCTTCCTTCAGGTATGTCTAGTGGGCTGCCTCTCCTTAAACTTTAGGCACTATTCCTTTACCAACCATTGGGATTCCTGCTGTTAAGGATAGTTCAGCAACCAGACCTGATTTCCAATGAGCCACCATAGAAAAATAACTGCCCATGAGAGAGGCACCAACATTTGAAACAGCAAAATAAGAGTGAATTATCAGAACACCTATGTCGTGAACAAGAAGAGCTAGAAAAGAAAAACATGTGCACAAAAACTGAGCACTTACGGACATTCTGATGCAACACACACACACACACACACACACACACACACACACACCCTAAAACTCGAAGCCATGATTATCAAACTAAAAGGAATAGATGAATTTTTTTAAAAAGGATGATCATTATTGACACCTAATAAGTAGATTGGAAGATGAAGCACAAGGATTCTCTCTCAAAGCACTGGGCAATAGGGCTGGAGCAGGACGGCACAAGATTTCATCACACTATCAGAATGGCACACAATTCAAAACTTATGAATTGTTTACTTCTGGAATTTTCTATTTAATATTTTTGAACTGCAGTTGACTTCTGGAATTTTCTATTTAATATTTTTGAACTGCAGTAACTGAAACCATGGAAAGCAAAGCCTCAGATAAGGGGTGGGGACTAATGTATTTACAAAAATAAATGACAGGCTGGGCTTGGCCATGGAGAGAAATCTGCAGACTCCTGTTTTAAGGGTGTCAGAATTCTCTTTAAATGCTGAGTTTTCATTTAGATTATAATCCCCCCAAATAGGAATATTCTGGATTATCTGAATAACTACTTTAAAATTAGGTGTGTGTATATTTGGTACTCTCTTTTGCATTTAGGATTGTATGAGGCATCTGTTCTCCCCTACACACCCTCACAAGATACTTCTTACTGTGAAATACTGAAAGGATAAATATTTTTACAATAGTTATAAGAGAGAACTGTAGAAAGATCTCGAGGTAGCTGATTTTTTTTTTTTAGCTCCAAACGTTAAACTTCGTTATCAGTAACCATGATAGTCAATATGAAATGAAGAATTTTTTAACCATTGTTATAGACCTGTTAGATACAGTTTAGTAATGCCTCGCGGATGAATTGGTCTTTATGTGATAGAGGTAGCTATTGTGTTTCTAAATCACTCTTTAAAATTGGCCTTGGAATGTGCGCAGAGCCTGATGTTGCTTTCCCCAAATCTTTTCTTCCCTTTTCCCTCAATATTACAACCCTGAGGATGGGATCTATTTTCCAAGTTCCATTTCAGCCAGGTGTAGACGTGACACAGTGTGTGGCCAATGAGACAGCAGAGGTCACTGGGTGGTGACTGAAAAAAAATTCTTAAAATAGAGTCAACTCAGTTGGCAAGTGCCCTTTTGTCCTCTTCCTCTCTTCCTGCATAAAACAAAGTTGCCAAACCTGGAAATGGAGCTACCTTTGACCTACCAGAAAGGAAAGGACACCGGGATTGCAGAGGTGTGGCTCGGACATCGTGGACTACCTAACTCCAAACTTCCTGTTGGGGGAACGAGGGCAGAATTGTCCTATCTATTTTAGCCATTACTATTTGATTTTTTATTCTGTGTAGCTGGACTCAATTCCTTATCATTAAAAGGTAATACAGGATAAATGATAAGTAGACATGAGGCTATTTCTTTTCACCATAACACCCAACAGCATCAATTTAGTTTCCACAAAATAACACCATCCATCATATTAAATTAATATTGTTAAATTGAACTGTCTTCATTTTTTGGTTTACTCTTAATTTTATAAATGTGTTTTCACCTAAAAAATATTTTCTAAAATCAATATGTATAAGGGAGTTGTACCTAGTTTGGGGTTTGTATCCTATCTAATAAAAGAGAAACATGG